GGAAAACGAGTTTCCAGGCAAATGGATCACAAAAGAAGGCAGGAGTTGCAATCTTAATATCAGACAAAACAACCTTTAAGCTATCAGAAATTTTAAAAGATACAAAAGGACTCTACATAACGAATGTGTCAAGAGGCAGAACCTTCTGGGACTAGTATCCCAGAAGAAGAAAGGGAAATGGAGAACAACTTGGAGCAAGTATTCCAGGAAAAAATCCAAGAAAACTTTACCCATTTCACCAGAGATGTGACCAGCCAAATACAAGAGATATACAGAATTCCCAAAAGACATCAAATGAGAAGACAACACATAATAATTTGTCTACAAAAAGTAGGCACAAAAGAAAAAATTCTATAGGCAGCAAGAGAGAAAGGTCAGACTACCTACCAGGGAACACCATTGAGAATAGCAGCAGACCTATCAGCAGAAACACTATAAGCAAGAAGGGACTGGAGCCCTATATTCAAAGTCCTCAAAGATAACCAGTTTAAACCAAGAATTTCTTATTCAGCCAAGCTCAGCTTCATCAGTGTCGGAGAATTAAAATCCTTCCCAGACATCCAATCCCTAAGAGATCATGCAGCTTCTAGACCAGCTCTACAGGAGACACTTAAAAAGGTATTAAGCACAGAAGAAGGAAGAAAATGATTGACCACACACTTCCCAAGAGCACAGAATCAGCAGAGAATACAGCCCAACAAGAAACTTGAAAACACACACATAGATTAACCCCAAAGCCCCCCCAAAAAAACAAGCAAACAAAGGAAAAACTTTATAAGAACCTCATGACAGTGATAAACAGTCATATTTCAATAATCAGCCTGAATGTGAATGGACTAAATGTACCACTGAAAAGACACAGAATGGTAGACTGGATAAGAAACCATGACCCAATTATTTGCTGCATCCAGGAGACTCATCTCACTTCAAGGGACATACACAGACTTAAAGTTAAAGGTTGAAAATGAGTTTCCAGACAAATAGATCACAAAAGAGGGCAGGAGTTGCAATCTTAATATCAGACAAAACAACCTTTAAGCTATCAAAAATTTAAAAAGATGCAAAAGGACACTATATAACGATAAAAGGTTCAATCCACCAACAAGAAATATCCATCCTAAACATATACACACCCAACACAGGAGCACCAGCATTTTTAAAACAACTACTAAGTAAACTAAAAAAAGATATTGACTCTAACACTATTAGAGCAGGGGACTTGAATACCCCACTGATAGATAAATCATCGAGGCAAAAAATCAACAAGGAGATCCAGAACCTAAACTTGACACTCAACCAAACGGACTTAATAGATACCTACAGATTATTCCACCCAAAAACCACAGAATATACTTTCTACTTATCACCACATGGAATATACTCCAAGATTGATCACATCCTTGGCCATAAATCAAGCACAAACAAATTCCATAAGGTTGAAATCTTGCCATGCACATTCTCAGACCACAGTGGAATTAAAAATAAATATCAACATCAACAACATTTCCCAAAGCCCACAAAGTCATGAACACTAAATGGCATGATGCTAAACAGCTACTGAGTCAATACAGAAACCAAAGCAGACATTGAAAGATTCCTGGAAACAAATGAAAATGAAGAAACATCTTACCAAAACCTCTGGGATGCCCTGAAATCAGTTCTCAAAGGGGAATTTATATCTCTATGAACGCACATCAAGAAAACGGAAAGATCAGAACTTCAGAGCCTAACAAATCACCTAAGGGAGTTGGAAAGAGAAGACCACCAAAACCCCAACTTTAGCAGAAGAATACAAATCACAAAAATAAGACAAAAATATCATAGAAAACATCAAAAACAAAAAAAGCTGGTTCTTTGAAAGAATTAATAAGATTGATGGGCCTCTAGCCAGAATGACCAAGAAAAAGAGAGAAAAAGCCCAAACACAA